GGCAGGGTGCTGAGGAGCAGGCAGGATGCTGAGGATGCAGGCAGGAAGCTGTGGATGCAGGCAGGAAGTTGGGGATGCAGGCAGGAAGCTGAGAATGCAGGCAGGACACTGAGGATGCAGGCAGGAAGCCGAGGATGCAGGCAGGACACTGAAGATGCAGGCAGGGTGCTCAGGGCACAGGCAGGACACCGAGGATGTAGGCAGAAGCACAGTCTTGGGCCACTCGGTTCTCTGCAGTCTGGCGGTCTCTTGCCTGACAGGGTGTGTCAGGACGTGATAGCATCCACCTTCCCGATGGCTAAGGGGCTCCCCAGATATATATTACACCCAGTGCCAGCCCCAGCACAGGAGAGCATCCTGTCAGACTTTCAGCAGACAGGGAGGAGTGGGAAGAATATAGCCTGCTAATGGTCAGGCACAACTTGGCTTAAAGCTCATTTCTTAGCTGAGAGACGTTGATTTCTCCAAGTGTCAGATACAAGACCTCCCTCATAGGAACCTTGTGAACTGTAAAGTGGGGGGATGTTGGAAGCCCCTGGCAAAGATCCTCACTAAGCAAGGGGTGGTCAGTGGAAAAGCTGTACCAATTCACCAGGGGGCATGTTAGGTAGAGGCTCAGCTCCTTCTCCCAGAGTTGAACCTCCATTTTAACCAGAGCTGAGTGGTAGGTGGGCACCTCAAAGCTCAGGGGCACACATGCTGTGGCCAGAGGCAGTGGCCCAAGTATGAGCAGCCACAGACACTATGAAATGCTGGCTCCCTAACAAGATAAGTGAACAGACGCTTGACTGTGCTTCCCACTTGTCCTGTAGACTAGAGTTCGAGAGAAGCCTCCTTCCTGCCCAGCCGTCTGCCCACCCAGCCTTCCCAGCTCACAGCCAACATGTCCTCTTTCCAGCCCAGCCTCTCTACTGCTGGAACAGGGCCAGAGCCTCTCCAGGAGTACAGCTGGCTTCCTGCTTCTCAGGGCCATGCCTCCTTGGGGCATTGTCCCAGCAAGGGGCCCCTGGCCTACAGGAGTGCACTCACCCATCAGCAAGGATAAGGTGGAATTTGAAGAGCAGAAGGAGCATGGAGACCTAGCTAGGACTGAGGCCTTGCAGTTTCTGTTGAGTTCACAGCCGTACTTGAGGTCAGCCCCCAGCCCTGTTGGGTAAAGTAAGCATGGCCGGAGGGAGCTGGGCAGGTGTCTCCTAGCTCTTCCCACTCAGGCTGCCAGCCACCCTCTCTGTGCTCACTTCTGTGGATGGTGTTACCCTACATTCAACCGTGGCATAACCAATTTACTTGGCAACCCCTAACCGCAGGAGTTTGGAGGGGAGACTCATGCTTTTCACTGTTGTGGTTTGTGTCTAGTGTCCCCCTGAAGCCTCATGCAGTCAATGAGGTGGGCTCCTAGACTTTGTGACTAATTCGTGACCCAGTGCGGGGATGACGGGTGGAGTGTCACACCCGGCCAGTGGTGGCTAGCCTGAATATAGTATAAGGAGGGAGCGAGGCCTGCGAGCTGCCTCAGCTGCTGCTCCTCCCTTGCTCTTTGCTGCTTTCTGCCACCATGAACTGCTGCCCTCAGCCATGTGCCGCGCTGCCTTAGAGCCAGCTGAGTGTGGGCTGAAGCCTCTTGCTGGAGTTAGTGCTGTGCGCAAAACAAACCTTTCCTTCCTTGGTTTTGGACGTAAGGTATTTTGTCCCAGTAACAAGAGAAAAGTCACTAAGACACACTCCTTCAGTGTCCATCATTGTGTTAAGTATGTAGTTAGTGTTCGCTGTGTGCTTGGTGAATAAATCACTGAATGAGTGAAGCAGTCCTCAGTCAGGAAGTAGGTGATCTTTAAAAGGAAAAAGAACATCATTGAAAAGCCCTTCTTCTGCCACCAGGGTTGCTGCTAGGGAGAGAACACCATGAACATGCTTCTGCCCCGCTGCTGCCAGCCCCGCCCACCTCTGCGCTGTCCTCTGTGGCCATGGCCATGGCAGCCAGCAGCGCCCATGCCAAGACGGGCAGCAAGGACAGTAGCACCCAGACAGACAAGAGCACGGAACTCTTCTGGCCTAGCGTGGCCTCCCTTCCCAGCCGCAGCAGGTTGAGCACAACTCCTTCCAACAGTCCTGTCCTGAAACACCCAGTGACCAAGGGGACCACGGAGAGACTGGGTAGGTGGCCCCCGCCCCCACGCTCTGTGGACCCATGGAACTGTGTGGCCCAAGGGAAGGAGTCTTTTCCTGAGCTGGAAGGGAGCAGGCGCAGCACCTGCTGTGTGATCAGAGCCATTCCAACTCCCTTAGGTTGTATGTGCCCCTTGCTACTGTGGCAATAAGTAAGTATGAATACTTCTAATTTATTACCGTGTGAAAGGAGCATGGAGTCTGGGTCCGCCTTGGGAATGTATGCTTTATAACTGGCCTTTCTTCAGAAGCTGTAAAAACAGCCTGAGGAATGTTAGGAAAGTGCTGTCCTCTGGTACGTTTAGGAGCTGTGCCTGGGAGACACCAGGTCCTCCGGCTCATAGGTGTTGCCTTCAGCACATTGGCTTGCCAAGGATGCAGCCCTGGTGGAGACATCCTGACTGACAAGGAAGTGGACCTAACGCAGGCCAGGTTAGCTTGCAGCACAACCCTTGGACCAGGAGTAATGCACTGGCTAAATTATTACAGCAGTGTGGGCAGGACAGGCTTTGTAGCGAGTCCAGCAGTGCCCAAGAGAAAGGTAGGCTTGACCCTGCATTGACCATATTACAGACAAAGCCCTTCTTAGGAGTTCCAGGACGGGTGAGTCCCTTGAGAGAAACAGAAGCTGTCTCCACCAGGGTCTGTATTTTTGTTCCCAAAATAGGCAAGTGCAGTGTTACCATTTTTTGGAAGTGTAATTCTTTGGACACCTTTCCAAGAAAGGTGAGGAATGTGTGAAAGTGCCTGGCTCCCAGTGAGCCTGTGCTAGTTTTGTGGAGGTGGGTGTGAGGTCTCCGCACAACGTCCCAGTGTCATCTGCACCCTGTTCACTCCTCCCTGTACCTTCTGGCTGTTGCTGTTCATGTCTGAACCCAGGTCCAGTCGTTCAGCTTCCCCCTCTACGGCTCACTGCATGACCTTGCTCGCTCTGGACAGTGGGCTCTGACGTCTCCTTCTTTCCGCAGAGAACGCTCCTGGCCATGGGAAGTCACTGGACCACAGAGGCCGCGCCAGCAGCTCCCTGCAGAAGCCTGAGTTCCCTGATGGGGAGATGGTAGAAGTGCTTATCTAATGCTGCGTCGCCCTGGCTTTCATACCGCAGCACTGGCAAGTCAGGAAAGTGGCAGAGCAGGAGAAAGAGCAAGAAGGGTGTGGATGGGAAGCCAGGAATGATGTGAATTGATAAAGATTTCAGAGTAAAACTTTTTATACATGCTAAAAACAAAAAATAGGAGACCTACATGGCTGGAGAAGAGAGAATGCTATGGATTTTCTTGCATAAAGGGAAAGAAAAGACGCATGTAGGTTTGGAAACAAGTTAAGAAGAACAGGAAATGGAGCTTTTCACCGCACAGAAGCTGTGTCTCCTCGGAGCCTTGCTGTAGTCCCTTTCTTTGGTTATAAACAGAAGCTAGACGTGTACTTTCCTAAGCAGCCCCTTATTCTGCTTGCCTCCAAGCATGTTTCATTTAAAAAGAATCGCCTAAGGGCCAAGAAGATAGCTCAGTGGAATAAGTGCTTGCCTGGCAAGCATAAGGTCCTGAGTTTGATCCCTGGTACTGAAAAAAAAAAAAAAAAAAAACCAAGAACAAGGAATCTCCTAGACATTTCTAGGACAACGCAGTGTCACCATGGTATTGCAGGGTGTCCTGCGGGTTGTGGGTATTGGCACAGTGAGAGGACTCACTCAGGGGTAAAGGGAAGGTTCACCTAATTGTTGCTTGGCTTGGGTCTTCTGGAGATTATGGGCTTACTAGCTTTTCTAGATTGGGCAGTATTTTCTGAACAGGATCAGAGCATTAGGATTTTGGTCCTCGACTTCCCTAACTTTTCTGGTTTGTCTCTGCTTTACTTTCTTTAATTTTGCTGTTTTTTCTTTGTTTTGTTTTGGTTTTGTCACTCTTTCCTTTTTTCTTTTTTACTAAGACATTTCACGGTCCCTTCGGTGTGGGACTTACAGAGCAGACTCTGAACTGTGCTCCTTCCTGCTGTCTAACGACAGCAGAAAACCATCGTGTCTGGCCTCTGGGCTGGCTTTGTGGAGGGCTATGGTTACCCCTCTTATGAGTGCACCCTAGGGCACTCTCTGACTGTGTATTTGTGTGCAACATACACACCGGCAGAAGCAGCCGTACCTCTCAAAACCCGGGAAAGAGGGTGGAACTCAGGACTCCTAAAATTGTCCATCAACACCAGGCAGAGACTGAAAGCTTTGTGTTCTGTTGCATTACAGTTACAAAATACATCTTAAAAATATTCCTGCAATAGCTGTACATGGTAGCACACGTGTGTAATCCCAGCACTCAGGAGGCAGAGGCAGGGAGGGAGATCCTTGTATATTTGAGACTAGTCTGGGCTACAAAGTAAGCTCAAGGCCAGCCTGAACTCCATGGTGAGACCCTGCCTCAAAAAGAGAAAAACAAAACAAAGCCCCTAAAAACTGCATTGTTCGAAGGCCTGGTCTTGAGAACTTCTCAGGGGCATCTGACCATAGAACTTGACTGTCTCGGGTGAAGGGCAAGTGCTCGGGCTTAGGTAGAGGTGTGCCCGAGGGATTCCGCTTCATCCTCGAGCAGGGGCTGGTGATGCCTTCATGCTGCCGGGTCACATAGAGTATGATGTAGCTGGGATCAGGCCAGTGACCCTAGAGTTGCACTGAGTGGATGGTTCGCATGTAAGAATGACTCCTGTCTGTCGGTGCGTATAGCTCGAGGTACCAGGAATTGCATGTTCTTTTCCAAAACCACCGGCAAGTATGGAACACTTCTCTTCGCAGTCTCTCCTCAGTGTTCCTTCTGCTTCCCAGAGGCTGCTGGCTCCGGACAGTGTGGGGCTCACCTCGTTCTCACCAAGCCCGCAGGACAGGGCCACTCCTTCTTCCCCAGCTTGGCAGGGAGCGCAGGGAGTGGCAGAGCCCTTCTCGTTTGGGTCGTGTAACAACTCACATGTGATTTTGTCTACCAGGCAGGAGTGGGTATCAGGGTCATTGCTCCAAATAAGTTCTGAATATGGAGTAGGGGACTCGGTAGTGCTGCCCGTCGGAGAGGAGGCTCTCCAAGTATGCCCCGCAGCGGAGCAAGTCTTCGCCCAGTTTGCTCCCACCTAGCTGCCCTCAGCCACCTGTGCTCAGTGATGCCTGATGACCTGCATGCTAAGCGCAGGTAGACTGAGAAATCCTCCCCAGTAACCTGCTCCATCCCAGCAAGCGCAGGCGGGCAGTGCTGAGGTCCTAGGGGACCGTGACGAAGAGACAGGTTTCAAGGGTCTCCACAGGCAGCACACATGTAGGCTGGGGAGCTCTCTGCCGAGGAAAGAGCAGTGCCATCCAAAGCTGAGTCCTGCTTCATCCAGGGTCTGCTCCGAGTGGGTAGAGCACACCACATCCACTTGCCCTGCGCTCTGAGTGATCGGGGGTACTTCTAAGGCAAGGCATCTCGAGGCCACTGGAAGTGGACCTCACAGACGTTTTTACGTGGTGAGGGCTTTAAGAAGCCAGAGTGTCCAGTCCTCCAGCTGCTCCTCTACATCCAAGCCCTACAGTGTGACAGCACATGCTTCATAGGCGTTGGCTTTCTTGTGTTCTTTTTTCTTGCTAATTAATCAGTGTATCTGAAATGTCTTCATTTGCTGTGAGGGTGGCTGGTTTGGTTGCTGTTGATGTGCGGCTCATGGGAGGTGGCGGCAGGGATTAGGAAGCCCGCGGGAGCTGTTGGTGGGCAGTGCGAGGGTCTGTCCTCCAGTGCGCTTTCCTCTGCATCTAGGAGGCGTGTTTTTCTCTCCCTTTGCGTGGGTGTATGCCCCCCAGTTAGTCACTTGCTAATGTATGAAGGTGCACGTGGGAGTGCGTACATGCACGGTATGGCTGAGAGTGGCCTTCAGAGGCTGGCGTGCTCCTTTGATTCCCCTGAAAGGTGAGAAATCTTTCTTTTAAAGATGGTCTTATAAGCAGGTGTGCTAGCACAGGCCTCTATTCCCAGCTCGAGGGAGGCTGAGGCAGGAGGCTCACCACGAGTTCAAGGCCAACCAGGACTGCATAGTAAGGTCAAGGCCAGCCTGGACTACACAGTGAGGCCCTGTTTCAAAAGCTCACTAGAAATAAAAAGAAAGATTTAAGTTTTGGAAGTAATGCCAAGTTGTTCATAGCACAAGGGGAAGAATAAAGATGGTAGTTAAGGTAAGTCACATCTTTTATTTTTTCCTGTAAAATCCCTAAGAAATTTGTTGAAGTTAGTTTTGACTCAGCCTGACAATTCAAGAGTGTACATTACTCCCTTGTGTGCACAACTTCTAGAGGTTTCATTTCTAAAAACATGTTCTCTCGCTGTGGCCCATGTGTTCCTGTCCCTGACACACCGCACACGTAAGCACATGCTCCCATGCACGGCCGTCCGCTGGATGTACAGGAGCCGTGTCCTTGTCATGCTCCCGCACTTGCCATGTTCTTCGTCATGAAACCTTAGACACAGAGTGCAGCTGAGTCCTCTATGAGGCGGGATAACTACAGCATTTTCTTGTATCAGCCCCAAAGCTTTAGCACCCCGTGTTGTGTTGTGGTTGTACCCGGGATTCTGTTCTCAGATACCTGTATTTACTACAAAACAAAATGTAAGCAGTGGTTTTATTGGATCAGAGTGTTTCCCTTCTGAGCAGGGATAGCAAAGCCTCCTCTTCCTTAGCCTCCTTGAGGCCCTGACAGAGTCTGTGGTGTACAATTCTGTAAATCAAGGGCGAGTGCAGGCACCGAACTTCAGCCAAAATTATGACAGCCCTAGTGCCATGACCCTTTCTGCCTGCTGTGCCTGTGTGTGTGTGTGTGTGTGTGTGTGTGTGTGTGTGTGTGTGTCACTGTGTGTGGAGCCATGTGCTGTGACTGCCGGAAGCTGGGGGTGACCTTCGGCACCTCTGCACTGCCAGTCCGCATTGAGTTGTGGTGTGTAGCGCTGTGCAGCCAGGTGGGTCTGAGTACAGCGTGGGGAGCTAAGCATGAGGCGTGTCCCACACAGCAAGCACAGATTCTGTGGTCAGCCAAAGATTGTCCTGCTCTTTGCTGCTTAAACTTGTGCCTTACTATTATCGTGTATAATAAATGGATAAAATGGCCAAGAGGCTTTTCCCACTCCTTTGCCCTTTTTCTCCAAATGTTTATTTCATATGTGTGGCCTCAGCTCATGCTGACCTTGAGCCCTTGCTCTGAGGAGCAAGAGTCAAGCAGCCTTGGAGGTACCAGCTCACACTCTCATGCTCCTGGATTCTCCAGAAAACTGAGAAAGTTCGGGCGTGTGGACCAGCGAGCAGCATCCCCTCTGTCCTGAATGTCCTCTTGGGGTTCTTGGGTGCTGAGCCTTCCATGACTGCTGGAGCCTGAGCTCTGCCTCAGGATTCACCTGGGCTTTGGGACCTCGCTGGAGTTAGATGCGCCTCCACACCCGCAAGTGGGCATAAGGATGGTAGCTGCTTTGCTAGTATCTTCAGGTCAAGGGGAAAAAAAAGGTGGCTCTGAAGAGCTGAGAGTAGATTAATGGAATCCAGGCCAGGAGCTGCAGACTAGAGTGGAATGGAGTAAACACCACAAAGTCTTAAAGCTGAAACCCTCCCTTTGGGCCTGGTGCCCCTGGGGTGGGCGAGTCAAGCAGGGGCAGTGGCCTTTCCATTCTCCGGCTGTGGTAGGCAGCTGAGTTAGATAGAAATATTATGGGCAGCCAGATAGGGCTGGGCCCTCAAAGGACCCAGTATGGAAGGCAGGATACCTTGCAGCATGGGAGAGAGACAGGTACCTCCACTCTGGGTTGGACCTCAAGACAAAAGATTAAACAAATGCAGCCACACACCTCCCTAGGGATGGGCATCAGTGATTGATACTCTAAAAAGGAATCAATCACCTTGAAAGAGCCAGTAAGTGTCACTAACCCAATCCCCTACTAAAAGCCCCTGTTCTGTTTTTGTGTCCCAGGCTTCCTGACTCACTCCATTTGATTCCAATTTAGTCAGTTTTCCCTGAGTAACTATACTTATCGTCTTATTGGTGGACCATAGTTTTGTCCCACCTCATGCCCACCTTGCGAGTTCCATGTTTCCCACCTTGGACCTGCTTCGCCTCATGGTTTTGCATTAGAAAAGGCAGATTCCTTGGCAACCCTCTTGGGTCCCCTCTGTCCCTCGCTCAGACAGGAGCTTTCCTCCCAATAAATATATTCTGCTCTTACCCTCCACTTGATCCTAAAATTCATGAACTCATCCCAGGTATCTTTCAGGTTGGGAATTCCGCTGCGCTGTCTTGCAGCCATGCCTCTCCAGCAAAGGCTCTCTTCTCACTGTTTCCTGGCCCTTGTGGGGCAAGAGAGTCCTAAAAGTGGAAACCCAGCAGGCCCCCAGTAAGCACTGGTGTGATTAGAAGCATGTCTCCTTCAATCCACACATCCACTTCCTCATT